GGCCCCCGCACGTGGCGTCACAATGGCGCGCGGGTGACGGACGCGTCCTGCGCCCCGTGGGCCGCTGGCCGCCAGCCTGCGGGTTTGCCGGGCCTTCCAGCTGTAAAATGCCGTTTGACCGGGTGACCCCACTCCTTGGATTCTATCCTAAGAAACGCCAAACACCAGTCAGAAGGACAGATGCACCCCGGCGTTCACAGCAGCGCAGTTTACAGGAGGGACCTGGAAACAGCCCAAGTGCCCGTCAGGAGACGAGTGGACAAAAAAGCTGTGGGACATTCACACCATGGAGTACTAGGCAGCCCTGAAGAGGAGGGATCTCCTACCCTGTGGGACAGTGTGGATGGACCTGGACAGTATTATGCTCAGTGTGATAAGCCAGGCAGAGAAAGACAAACATCACGTGATCTCACTTATATGTGGACTCTAAAGAACAAAATAAATTGATGAACAGAATAGATCCAGAGACATTGAAACATTCAAAAGAGTATCTCAGAAGGAAGGGGGGCAGGGCGGTAGGGTGGGGCCATGGGGCTGGGAGGGGACCGTTGTAATACTTTCAATAACATTAATCCTGTTTTAGAAATAAATAATTAGAAATAAAATAAAAAAAGTAAAGGTGGAATCGTGGAAAAAATACCAAAAAAAAGTGAGAGGAGAAACAATATATGAACATTTAAAATAAAAAAAGAGTAAAGGCTGTTTCTTATGCTGGAAGACTTGGCTGAACTACACACCAATCCTAATTAATGCCATTGGCATTGTTAAAGCCTAATAATCTGAGTCTTTTTTCCCTGCCAAATGTTAACTGCAGTGCTTCTTGAACCTTTATCAGTGGAAGAGAGGCACACACGCAGTCCCTAGGGCACACGAGAGTTCTGATAGTTTAAACCAAAGATTTTCTCACCCATAGATATTTAACATCCTTTTTAAAACCCTTAACATATATATGAATATTTTACCCTACTCCAAAATATACCATATATATAGCTTAATGTAAAAAAACAAACAAACAAAAAACCCTGTAAATTATTTGTAGTTTAAATACTTAATTTAAAAGCAAACAAATACTTTTTAAAGAGAAGTTGGTGCTCCAGAAGAATACACCGCATGTATCCTTTTGGCTTCTAGCACCTATGTCACCTGGGGAGTTAGTGAAACAGGTAGCAAACCCCAGCCTGAGAGTAACAGTCTAAACTCACTAATAAGCTGTGCTTGGTGTGGAAAAATTGAAGGCAGGGTTAAGATGCAGATTGCTCTAACAAGTTTTTGATATGGCACCGTTCTTATAATCCTGAATCCTGTCCAGTCAATTTTATTCCTAATTTCTGACCAATTTACTGTTTATTTTTATTTATTTATTTATTTATTTATTTATTTATTTATTTATTTATTTATTTTTGTTTTCTTTTCAATCTTTTCTCATAATGTCTTCAACAGGTTTCCATAGAGAACATCAGGACATAGGTGGCTTTGTTTTTTGCTTTTACAGCTATCTAAATAGTACCAGTCTTAGTCTGGGAAATTGAGAAGCATGTTTTTCTAAATACCTCTTCATACAGTAAACATTAGAAAGTAATTTCTTATAAAGTGACCCACACAACAGTATACAGTTTGGACTGAAAGAGAGCAATATTGCATTTGTTTAAGCAACTGGTAACAGTTCAGTCACAGGACAAAAGAAGTCTTGGGCCTAGGGTTATAAAGATCACATATCATTTTTCTCTTCTGCACTCTTACTAGGAAGGTGATTTTGTACCTGAATAAACCAGTCATAGCCGGGGATCCTGTTCTATTTAGACTTTAAACAATTCACCTTAATGCATTCTGTTTTATGTCCCCTTACTATTTGTAAATAAACATATAAATAAAATACAAAAGTCCTGTTTGTAAAAAACTCTTACCCAAATTTCCCTAGGGCATGTTCAAAGCAGCTGCTTTATCTAGTTGCAAGATTGTTTTGGACACTTCTTTTGTTATTAAGGCAGGAAAGAGAAAATAGCTTGTTAAAAAGTTATAATCTCTCAAAACTGGATCCACATCCCCACCACCTTCTCAAACCCAGCCATCATAATGGGCTTCATTTTTTCACTCAATTTAAAATTCTGCTGTTGGAATTCATGGTCTTGCTGTGATGTTTGCTCCCTCTTTGATAGTTAGCCTGTCTCTGCTGTTCTCTTTCATTCCTGCAGGTATTGGAGATCTCCAGGGAGCATTATCTCCATGAGAATGAGAAAAATGACACTGCAGGATGGAGCAGTAGTGTTAATAGGTCACTGAGTGACAGCTGAGCCTTTTCTCAGAGGTATCAGCCAGCCTAGCACTGCCAGGAACACAAGAGCTATAAAGTAAAGTGTGCCAATTTAATCTTGTCACACATAGCCTGGGCTGCAAAGATAGAGCTCCCCTTAAAAGCCCAGTGTGACAAGGCTAAACTTGACTCATGCCAGAGGAGAAACATGCAAAGATGCCATGGCCCATTTTTTTGCAACAGGCTCTGGTTAAGATAATAAATAATAAAATGTGAGCCTTCCAGTGACTTTTTGGACATCACTTACCCTAAACCTCCTAAATTCAACTTAAAGATAGACAGATGAAATTATATTTGCAGAATATGATGCCAAAGTAGTTCCATTAAATTGATTAATCCTGATAATAATTTTTGAACTTTTACAATATTTTAAAACTCATTCATATATTCAAAATCAAAGTGAAATTTCCAGACATCAGTGTAAAAGTTCAAAACTTCTCAAAGAGATCCTCTTATCTTCCCCTCTCTAAACAAGTTTCAAGCTACATATGGACAATCAAGTTGGTGATGGTGTATTTTTCTTCAAATGATTTATTTTTAGTCATATCATTGTTCAATAATAGGTTTATTACCAAACAGAACTAAGAGTCATCTGCATGCTCACCACTGAAATGTTGTTTGCAATTAAACTCCCCATAAATTCTAAGTTTTTAATTAACACCGAATCTCACTTTTAATATATTTGAAATGAAAGGAAAACAGATGAGCACTTTTATAAGGCCAATGGTAGACTTTACCTTTAATTAATAAAAAACCTAATAAAAGAGAAGCTAGTGATTATAGTAGCAGTCATTCATGTCAGTGTGACAGAATTTCACATTTCATGTCTAATGGTTGATCCTGAAGGGTCATTTCTGAATTTATCTTAAAAGTGTCACTCCCATTGCATCAATACCATATAAAATATTTTTAAATAAGTGGCAAGGAAATGTTAGAGAAAAAAAAGGACAACATGTTTGAAGACTATTTAAATTCCTCCAGTAATAATTGCACTTTTCGACAAATGTTAAGTGAATAAACCTGTTAAAAAGAGAATATGTTCTAGATAAATAATATTAGATCTCATTATATGATTAGTGGCAATGTATTTTTTTCAAGCACCAAGACTTGACAATTAAGATTGATGAGTAAGAATGTAGTGGGGAAAAATGGGTTATATATAACTCAGAGAGGAGTTTTCCCCATTTGGTCTATTACTTTATCTCCCTTGGAGAAAGGGAAAATGTCAGTACCATATATTCTGCAAAATAATGACAATCAAGTAAGATTTCTATTTAATGTTGTAATAAGTGAGTTTATTGCAGAACAATTTAGAACCCTTGGCAAACAATTTTTCTTCTTCTCTTCACCCCCATTATAATTCTGAAGTATCATTATGTAAATGATATTTCATGTATATAATGAAGAGAAGATTTGATTGAAAATGAGAGGTAAAGGGATAGTGCTCCTCATTCCACCCAGATCGTAATGGTTTAGGGAAAGAACAGATGTTATGGGTTAATTTTTAGTAACAACTTGATGGAGCCACGGTCTTTCTCCTTCGGGATGACCCCGGTCAGCTGAGTCATCATGGCCACAGTACCCACCCCCGATCCCTAGAGTTTGGAACCAAGTTCTAGCAGATAAAGATAAAAGGGATCATAATACAAACTATATTTTTAAAAATATATTTCCAAACATTTTAATAAGGTCCTTATAATTAGAGCTATAACTGAATGTGGCCAGTTGAAATAAAAAATAAAAATTCATGTATAACCTGGTGTCAAGATTAACTAATGCCTAGTATCTCAACCAGTAGAAGACTAGTATAAGAGTCAACAGTTGTGCTCTGATTTCTGTTCAGTACTTTGAATTGTTTTGTAAAATCATAATCTTATTCAAAATAAGTATCAATTCAATACATATCCCTAAAAAATCAAAGCAAATTCAATAAAGCCCAAATCAGAGTTAGGTCCATTTGCATTTCCTACAACAATTATTTACACTTCTTGGGAAAGAGTTATTTTTTTTTCTTTTCAGTTTTTAATTCTCATATACTTAAAAACTCATGTCTCAAATTTTTATTCTTTAAAAAAACATACATTTATCTTTTGTAACCTTGATTTTAATAGCTGAAGAGTACATAGTAAATGTAATAGTAAAAATAAACTTTATATATTAGTGAAATGAGGACTTCTCACCTCTGCACAGTCTTT